TTTGTTACCAGAAATCAAACTCAGGACCTTGCACTTGCTAGGCAGGCACGGTGCCACTGAGCTACATCTCCGGACCTAAAGTAAAATTATCGACTAGGAACAAATTCAAAGTACAGGACAAATTTTCTCTGAAAAGCATTATGACCATTCCTCAAAGAATTAAAAACAGAATCACCATATAAACCAATAATTTCACTTTGGGTTTGTATTCCAAAGAATTGAAAGCACAGTCTTGAAGATATATTTGTATACTCATGTCCATAGGAATATTATTCACATGAGCCAACAGGCAGAAGCAGCCAGTGTCCTCAGTGGAAGGGCAAATCAGTGAAATGTGGTATATATGTCATAGGCTATGGTTCGAATGTGTGTCCTCCAGACTTCATTCTGAAATGTAAGAGCCAATGCAGTGACACTGGGAACTGGGGCCTTTTAGGTGTGATTAGGCTGAGAGGGTTCTGCTCTTATGTATGAGTTAAATGCATTTACAAGAGGGCTTTCAAGAGTGGACTTTTTTGATCCTTCTGCCTTTTGCCATGTGAGAATCCAATGTCCTTCCTCTCTAGAGGATGCAGCATACACAGTGCCATCTTGGAGGATGGTAGTGCTTTGATATTATAATTCTACTCAGACCTGTGAGAAATAAATTTCTGTTCTTTATGAATTGTGCAGTCTCAAGCATTGTGTTAAATAGCACACAAAATGGACTAAGAACATACAGTGGACTATTAGACATCCTTAAAAAGAAAATTCTGAGATATCCTACAACATGCATGAACTTGGGACATTATGTTAAGTGAAGTAAGCCATTTACAAAAAGTCAAATGCTATATGGCTCCAATTCTATGAAGTATCTGTAATATTCAAATTTATAGGAGCACAAAGTAGAGTAGTGATTACTAGGAAATAAAAAAGAGAATTGTCATTTAATGGGCATAGTGCTTTATAAAATGAAAAAATTCTGGAGAATGGTTGCACAACACTGTAAATATACTAACACTACTAAAACTGATTAAGATGATAAGTTTTAGTGTATTTTACCACAATTAACAATAAATGCCAGCCAATTTTCAAATTTTAAACATAAGTTTACTCCATCAAAACACCGTCAAATTACTCCAATACTCTATCATATTACTTCTCCAAGAGATGGAGGGAAGTGAGAAAGAGGGGAAGGGAAAGGGATATAAAAAGAATTAAGATGTCTTATGTACATGTAGCAGCTCCCCATGATGAATGAAATCATTATGTACTACAAACATGGCCTAATAAACATAAAGTTACCCTGTCAAAATCCTGTAAAAGGACTGGAGATGTAGCTTAATGGTACATTAGCTAGCATGTGTGAGGGACGGAGTTCTGTGCCCATCACTGCAAGAAAGAAAAAAAGTTCCTAAATGCTTAGTCTCAATTTTCTTGCGGGCTGGTAACTAGTTCATACAGTGGCATCAGTGCATGGACACATTGAATAACTATCACTGAAACGGAGACTTAGGAAAAATGGGAGGGAGAGAGATTGCTAGGTTGATGTTTTGAGTAGTGAGAAGCTATAGGATTAAGGGCACAGGTGACGAGACTGATTTTGTCTGGGATCACAGAGTTTTCATGTTTACTCATAGCAACAAGATTGAGTATTCAATTCAGGTTCTGTTTGGTAAGTAGAAGGAGTGGTGAGAGATTATGAGTAGATTCTTCTGTGAGTTTTCATTTTGATGAAGGTAAGAAACAAGCTCATTATTTGGGTCTTTGGATGGGATAAGAGTAGAAAGTTATCTAAAAGAGTGGGAGAATCTTGGAGTAAAAAATGAAAGCATGGAAATATACAGTAATAAACTAATATTTATTTGCTTCTTTTAAAAAAGTATCATTTTCCATTTTATTATTTAATTTTCCTCTTCTCCAGAATGAGACTTTACATCTCAAAAGCACAGATCTTACAGTTGCTCAGTAGATAGGAAATATTCATAAACTGATATCAAATGTAATCCTGTTTCTTAGTAAATTTCTTAGTAAATACAGATTACTGTATTGATCTTTCTGATATTGTTATAATTATTGTGATGCTGTAACTAGATATACATGAATTGCTTCTTGTTGTTTGTTTATTATTTTTATAGCATTGCTACCATGGGCTGTGTGTAAACAAGGAAATGGAGACACGTCCTGTAGATGGTGAATGGGGACCATGGGGACCTTACAGTTCTTGTTCAAGAACGTGTGGAGGTGGAATCAAAAGCACAACCAGGCTCTGTAATCGCCCTGAGTATGTTTTTTTTAATGTCACTGTAAATTAAGATTATCTCAAGGCACCAGAAAATTAACATCTGTTTCATTTACTTCTAAAACTGGAGGTCAGTCTGTAAGTTTCTGAGATTCAGAAAACTACTGGAATATTTTTGTACCGGCAATCAAACTAGGGACCTTGCTCTCGCAAGGCAGGTGCCGGAACCACTGAGCTAAATCAATCCCCGGCCCAACTACTGGAATATTTTAAGCCATATTATTTTATAACTTTGTAGACTTGGACCTTAAAGCAAAATCTAAGTAGATTACATTTTATAACCTTAACTGAGAAGCATTTTTATCATAATTTATTTTTGTTTTCTGATTTAGTGCCAAATTAGAAAATAGTTGCAAATATGAATGGCAGTAATGGCTTTTCACGTTTAGTCTAATGAAAGGTCCTATCTCATCCCACTTATATTTTGGCTTGCCTGGACCAAACATTTAATTTGGATTAGTTTATTGCTTTATGTAATTTGATAGGTCACATTTTCTTTCTCTGCTTCTCATGGTTTAGATGTATCATTGCCATAAGTACTGAATGTATATCTTTCTCCTTATCAAATTATTTAAGAGTTTCTGAAAACTCTCTCATAAAGATTTTTAAATGTTTCCATTGTATATATGAAATATAAGTTGGTAAGCAGTGTGATACTCTTTCCTTAATGTCCTAATACCAAGCATTTTAGTGCAGAAATGTAACATACTCTGAATAAAACCTGTCAAGTTTGTTTGAATTTTAGAGTAGCTAAATTATACTGGAAGTATTTATATTCCAAAAATTCTGAAGCATTATCATTTTCTAGTGTAAGTTGAAAAGAGATGAGTATAGACTGATACTATGAAACTGCTTGAGCTGAGTGCTGAGTAGAATGCACATGACAAAGAACAAAGAAGTATGTATATTTCCTTTTACTATGGTGTCTTCTCTTGTCATTGTCTTTGGCAGACTATGTCTCTTTTTTTTCCCCAGAAGATGACCAAACCCCTTTTTGAAATTTTAAAACAAAATCCTGTCATTAATTTCTTGTTAGTTAATCTTGCCCTCCCCCCCGCAAAAAAAAAGATCCATCCCTGCCCTCTAGGCCGCACGTGGATATTTTTATAGTTCATTAGCAGGGAATTGCTTAAAAACCATTATATATTTCCATTAAAATTAAAGAAAAAAGTGTTAGTGCCACCTTAATGATTTTCCTGATCCTGGAAAGAATGGAACAGTTATGGAAGTAAATGGCAGAGATAATATTGTACTGATGTGCTTTAAAATGTAATGAATTTGACTAGGCCACGAAACGGAGGAAAGTACTGTGTGGGCCGCAGGATGAAATTTCGATCATGTAATACTGATTCATGTCCAAAAGGCAAGCAAGACTTCCGAGAGAAGCAGTGCTCTGATTATGATGGTAAACATTTCAACATCAATGGTCTTTCTCCTAATGTGAGGTGGCTTCCAAAGTACAGTGGGAGTAAGTAATTATAATGTTTCTTTGATGTAAAAGTTTTTGAGACATAGAGACACATAGCTTTCTTATTGTATATGTAAAATTTGACTTTTTTATAGTTGCCATAAAAGATCGCTGTAAACTCTATTGTCGGGTTGCTGGAACCACTAATTTCTACCAGTTGAAGGATAGGGTTGCCGATGGTACCCCATGTGGAACTGAAACCAATGACATCTGTGTTCAAGGCCTCTGCCGGGTAAGTCAACTGTAAGTTTCTGTTATATTTGAAGTGACTTTAAGAATAATATTTGGCTTCTCTTTCTTGAACCAAATATTACTTCTTCTTCTTTCTATTTCTTTAACCAAATATTACTGTTACTTCAGAATACTTATGAATTCCAGTAAAGGAGGCTTTATCATCATACTCTGCAGGAATGTGGTTACTAATCAGTCCTTTGTTACTAGAGAGTCTCTGTAACTTTGCTAATGAAGATAAGTTTAAAATTACTATTCTCATTCTATTTTGCTAAGTATTTAGAATCAAGATGAAGATGGTGATGGCTTCCTCAAAAGGTAGAAGACACAAGGGTTGTAAACTGCTTTTGCTACTTCAGAGGTGACCCCCTGTAGTGACATTTTACTGACGCTGAATCCATTGATTCCTCCGTACATCTGTCTAGCCCTCTGTCTCTTCTTATGAACATTTAGCAAACACTGAGCAGCTACTAGATGTCAGGTATTGTTCATATCACCAGGATAAACAAATGGAGCAAAGTTCTTACACCACAGATTCAATTAGAATGCAGTGCCTTGAAGTCTTCTGAGAGGCAGCATGCGGGCTCTCCAGGAAGGAGCATCTTACTGTATGGGGAGATAAGTAATGGATTCTGAGAAGTCTTCAGGGAAGTATGAGCTCCAGAGCTAAGTATTGAAGATAAGGTGTTAGAAAGGTGAAGAAATAAGGGAGTAGGGCCCAGCAGATGATTGTTATATGCACTTTTTGTTTGAACTCCCTGGAGATCCATAGAAGGTTTCAGTGGAGGGAGAGATGTGATTTTCTTTGCACTTTAGAATGTTCAGAACGTGCTGGGCTGGAAGACTGTAGGTTGCGGGGCCATTTGGCAGGATTATTGGTAAGAAATAAAACCTGTGTTAAATCCAACATTGCAGGTGGTAATGAGAATGGATATTGGGTTGGAGAACTGGGATAGTGAATGGTGTCTAAACAATCTCAATGTATTCCTATGAGCTCCTTCCTTTGGTTAAGAAGGAACTTAATTTCATCTCCCTATAAACCAATATATATCTATTACCATTTACTTAGGTGATAAGGCCTTGTACCCAAAGAGCTACTGAGGTGCTCAAAGAGATTTAAAGTAATTTATAAATTGGAAATATTTATATATTGAGAAAAGTTTAAGTGTTCTGAAAAACTTATGCTTTATATAAAGCATAAAGTCAAATGAAAATAATAAAAATATGATGAAGATTATTGAACATATAGATACATCCTTCTTTCAGACAGTACAATAAAAATGTTTATTTTGGAAATATTTTCCATGAGAAGCTAAACATGATGACACATGCTAGTAATCCAACACTCTGGGAGGCTGAGGCAGAAGGATGACAAGTTTGAGCCCAGCCTTGGAATTACTTAGCAAGACCCTATATCAAAACATAAATATGAGAGTAGGACCTTACTCCAAGGAGGGGCCTGGTTCATGGCAGGTAGTGCAGGAGAGGGTGCATGAAACAGTTCTTGAGGAACCTTTGGGAAAATGTGTTTGGTGGGAGCTCCATTTCAAGGCCTTTTATACTGGTCATGAACTGTTTTGCTTCAGTCTTGCTGCTCTTCCTTGCTGCCCTGCCTTGGAAACAGCAGACTGTGGACTGACTGAATCCTCCACTAACTGTCTTCCACTGAGATTACTGGTCAAAGATGAATTAAATTTACTTCTCTCAGGTGAACCATCTGGGCCACTGTACAACCACCCCTAGCACCAAGGAGCAGAGCTGCCCCCAGTGCAGAGGAGGTGAACCTTCCAGGCCACCATACCACCGCCCCCAGCACCAAGGAGGTGAGCTGCATAGGCAGCAGCAGCACACATCTCTCCCCCATGCTCCCCTCATTGAAATGAGAAGAAACATCAACAAGTCTCAAAACCAGACTTCCAGATCACCTAAAGCAACCCCAAAGGGAAATGAGATGGAACAATCCGATACCCAACCACCAGGACTCCCTGAACTGGGAACAAAACAGGATCTGGAAAAAATCAAATCAAAAATAATTACTCAGATAACAGCAGAGGTTGTGCCCATAGTGCAAAACATGATTAATAAATCTAGAGAGGACATAGATAAAAAACTAGAAGAGTGGAGGAACATGATGGAATCTCAACATAGGAAACAAATGGAATCCATAAAACAGGAGCAAACAGATTCCCAGGAGATGAAAAAACTCCATTGAAAGTTTACACAGCAGAACGAACCAATGTGAGGAAAGAATTTCAGATATAGAAGATAAGATTGCAATTAGTGACCAGGAAAACAAAAATTTCTTTAAAATACTAAGGGACCGCGAGAAATCAATCCAGAAACTGTTAGATGATGCAAAGAAGAATAACATAAGACTGATCAGAATCAATGAAGAAACAGGAGAGAGTACAGATGGCATAAAAAAAACTGTTCACAGAAGTGATGGCAGAAAACTTCCCAAGCAGGGGAAAAGAACTTGACATACAGAGAAGTGAGGCATATAGACTCCAATTAGCCTTGACAAAAAAAATCTACACATAGGCATATAATAGTCAAGATTCCAGAAACACAACAGAAGAACAAAATTCTACAAGCAGTTAGGGAAAAGAAACAAATCACATACAAAGGAAAGCCCATCAGAATCACAGTAGACTTCTCAATGCAAACACTCAAGGCAAGAAGAGCTTGGAGTGCTGTATTTCAAGCCCTAAAGGAAAACAGCCTCCCACCCAGATTGATGTACTCTGCAAAGCTATCTTTCAAAATTGATTGAGAAATAAGATACTTTCAAGACAAGGAGCACCTGAAGAACTTCACGAATACCAAACCAGCACTCCAAAAAATTTTACACAATATCCTAGGAAAAGACAATGAGGATCACAACCCCAGGAAGCTCAGCAGATTGAATCCATCTGGCATCACAAGAAACTAAATGCAAAGGGGAAAATCCAACAAAAAGAAAAAGTCATGACAGTGATAAGTCAATACATATCAGTTATAACTATCAATGTTAGTGGTCTCAATTCACCAATCAAAAGAGACTGGCAGAATGGGTCAAGAGCCAGATCGAACAATATGCTGCATACAAGAAACACACTTAATTCAAAAGGAAACTCAGAGACTGAAAGTTAAAGGGTGGAAAACGATACTCCATGTGACAGGAACCTCCAAAAAAGCAGGAGTAGCTATCCTCTTTGCAGACCAAGTGGATTTCAAACCAACACTGATTAAGAGAGACAAAGAAGGACACTACATCCTTGTAAGGGAACAATCCAAAAGAAAGAGATGACAGTCATAAACATATATGCACCAAACACTGGTGCTCCAAACTATATAAAACAAATACTAATGGACATGAAAAATCAAATAAGTACTAATACAATATTAGTGGGGGACCTCAATCCCCCACTGTCACAAATAGATCAACTAGACAAAAAATAAGCAACAAAATACTAGAACTCAATCAAACTCTTGAACAAATGAACTTAACAGATGTTTTCAGAGCATTCCACCCCACTATACCAGAATAAATGTTCTTTTCAGCTACACATGGGTTGTTCTCCAAAATAGTCCACATACTGATTCATAGAACATATTTAAGTAAGTGCAAAGGAATTGAAGTTATCCCCTGTATATTATCAGACCACAGTGTGATGAAATTGGAGATCAATAGCAAAAGAAACTGCAAGAATTTCATAAACACATGGATATTGAACAACACACTTCTGAATAACAAGTAAGTCACAGAGGAAATTAAAGAAGAAATCAGATAGTTCCTACAATTAAATGACAATGACAATACAACATATCGGAATCTATGGGACACAGTGAAAGCAGTCTTGTGAGGGAAATTCATAGCAGTGAATACTCAGGAAAACTGAGCAAGGCTAATTAAACAACCTGATGCTGAACCTCAGGCTTCTAGAAAAAGATCAGGACAAACCCAAAGTTCATGCAAGGGAGGAAATTGTAAAGATCAGAGACGAAATCAATGCAATGGAGACTAAGAGAATGATACAAAAAAATCAATGAAACCAAGACTTGGTTCTTCGAAAGAATAAACAAAATTGACAAACCCGTAGCCAACCTTATCAGAAAAAGGAAAGAAAAAGACCAAATCCATGCAATTAGGAATGAAAAGGATAAAATTACAAAGGACCCAGCAGAAATCCAGAGGATCATCAAAACCTCTTTGAGAACCTATATGCCAATAAGATGGAAAACACAGAAGAAATGGATAGATTCCTAGATAAGAATGAATTACCAAAGTGGAATGAAGAAGACCTAAAAGTTCTAAACAACCCAATATCAATCAATGAAATTGAAAATGTAAGTAAAACCTTACCAACTAAGAAAAGCCCAGGTCCTGATGCCTTCACTGCTGAATTCTACAAGACATTTAGAGGGGAACTACTGCCACTGCTACTACTATTTAAACTCTTCAATGCAATTGAAAGGGAAACAATACTCCCAAATTCATTCCTGGAAGCAAGCATCACCTTGATCCTCAAATCAGAGAAAGACCCAACCGAAAAAGAGAACTATAGGCCAATCTC